AGAGGCTCTGGTCTATACAACCAGAGGGGCTCTGGTCCTGAAGGACTTAGAGTCCAGAGGTTCTGGTCTATACAACCAGAGGCTCTGGTCGTCCAGAGGGGCTCTGGTCGTTTTTCAGACTTAGTCATTTTAGCACAACAACATCTTCAAATCTTCCATCCTTGACCCCGATTGCTTGATTAAACTTTTAGAATAATTAGAATCAATTTTGGTCCTAATATTGTTCATGTGTTGGGCGTCGGTTGTCGGACACCTTTGGATCCGGGTGAGACAGCCCGGAGGGGCTGTCCTTACTCATCTGTCCGAGGATGGAGGATGGTTATTGCAGAAAGATGAGTAGAGGGTTTGTACACCATCCGAGAGTGGACAGATACGGATTGGTCAGTCAAGCCTAATATTTGTCTGTTGTTTTAGACTTAAATTGTTGGTTAATGTATTAATTGTACATCGCATGATTTTGATTATTGAAGTGTTTGTGTTATAAATTCATTTGATTGTCTTTGTTGTTTCCTTGAAATTCCATATCTCGTTAACACATGCTTTTGATGAATATTGACTCTTATACTTCTAGATTTTTCTTATAAATGTACTTACATGAGTCATGATGTGCATGATATCCATTTAAACTCACTAAGCTTTGTTAGCTTATCCTTTTAGTGGTAAACCTTTCAGGAAAAAAAGCTAAGAGTAAAGAGAAAGTTGTAGATCGTTGATGGTTCGTGTTGGAATCGAGGACCGTCATATTTTGGTTTACGGTAGTTTATGCTTTTGGATAGATGTAAATGTCGATCTAAAACTTATCTTTTGATGGTAAATATATATATATATGTATCCCGTATTTTGTCGAGGTTGAACTAGAAATTTAGCTTTAGATCTATCCATTAATTGTGGTTCGGTAACTGGTGTGTTACAAATATGGTATCAGAGCAATGGTTTAAGTGAACTAGGTACCAGAAATGGTATCTGGACTTAAACTTGGGCAATGAGATTGTATAGTAACTAAGTTTGATTTATACGGGATACGGACCATAAGAAAGATCTAAGTGGGTAAATGAGCATTTATTAGTATGTTGTTTAATATTTTAGGTTTTTTTTTTGTCATTTCCAGAATGATGTCTGCTCATGATGATCATGCAAGTAATTCACCAACGAACCCGGATGTTGTTGGGCATAACCCGGATTTAAATGAGGGTGTCGAAACTGTAACACCCTCATTTTTCATCAAGAGAGATGTTACGTAATCTGAATCATTTCCTTAATAAACACACYAAAGTAATGGCTAAATTAAGACCATTTAAACTATTAYARYGGAAGTCTTTGAATCATCAAAGTTTTAACTTAAGTTCAAACCCACCTTCACTTGGGGTTAAGTTACAAAAGATCATTACAGCGCATCTTAGACAAAAGACTAAAATGAGATAATAATAGGCAACACTCTAAGCATGTCATTTGCCTTTGTCCGTCCTCGAACTACCTGTGCCTGAGATGCATACTATAGTCAGCTTATAAAGCTCAGTGAGTTCATGGTTTTCGTGTATAAAAACATTGTACGTCATACATTTCAACTTGTAAACCTTGTACCAAGTAGCATGCAATTTCTGAAAACATGCAACACTGAAAGAAATGAGATCTCATAAAT